TTTTGGGGTTATTTGTTGGGGAAGGGGGGGTTTATTCATTTATGGGAAGCTCCCTTTTTTAAGGTATATTTATATTTTGAGGCCTATTAAAATTTTTAGCGATCTATTTTTTAGGTCTACCTATTGCTCTTCTTATTGGGGGAGTCTATTTTTAGTTGGTATTTAACTTTTTCTTAAGGGGGTGGGGTGTTCCAAACGGCAATTTGCAATTGCCGCAAATCCGCAATTCTTTTCCCAAAGTTTCCTCCCTCTCCCCCCGCTCTCTTCCCCTCCCTCCTTCGACCGGTGGCTTTGCAATATTTCAGCAGCAAATTCGCCTCCGTTCCCCCCTCGGCAGAGCGGTGCTTCCTAACCAATTTAATCGCCTTTCGCCAAAGTTATAGGCCACCAGGGTCCCCGGGAGAGAGCTCCAGGACCTTGGGGTCGCTGCCTGCTTGCCTGTCCCCGGCCTTGCCTCTCTCTTTGCTCCTAGAAAAGTTCCTCGTACACAAATAAATGAATTCACCCTGGGATCCACAAGCGAGGATTAGCTCAATTGATGGTCGATTCGAGTCCACTTGCCAAAAACACTTTCTTCTTCGCTTTTGCGAAATCCCAGCGCTGGCCAAGCTGCAAACCAACGTCAAACACGCGAGGAAAAGTGGAACTGGCCAAAAGGATGGATTTCCCCTCCTGGCTATTTTTTTCCCCTCTTTTTTTGGTCGCTCTTGCTGAGTTGTTCAGCTGAAGTTGTTTATTTACACGCCACCGAGGAGGTTTCGCCTTAGCACACAGTCAAGTTGACGTGCTCCCGCCCTGGCACCTTCGGAAGAGGCAGCGTGGGGTCGTGGGGTGCTGGGGGTGCAAGTGGGTGAGTGTGCGCTGCTTTGCGCAGTCTCGTCCGACACAACGAGCATCTGCGGACACTTTCATCCAGCATTTGCAGCGCTAAGAGACCCCCCCTTCCCAACCAGGCTTTTCTTCTTTCTTTTTTCCCCAATTTATCCCCTTTTTTCTTTCCTCCTTTTCTTTCCTTTCTTTTTAATTATTTTCCTTGTTCTTCTTTTTTTCATTTCTTGTCTTTCTTTACTTCCCTCCCTTTCCCTTTTAGTTTTTTTTTCCTTTTTTTTCCCATTTCCCACATTTCCTTTTCCCTTTATTTTCTTTCCCCTTTTCATTTTTTCTTTCCCTTTTTCTTTCTTATTTTCTTTTTTAAAATTAAATTAATTTATTTTGTATAGAAGCCAATTCAAGTGAACATTATTATCCTGGAAGAAGCCAATTAGAACCCAGCCCCCTTGCCTTCTTCCCTCTCTGCAATATTTCACAACAAAGTCACCAAGAGCTGCTTCCAATATGTTGTATATGAAATCCAGGGAGCAATAGGAAACAGGTTGGGTTGGTGTGTTTGTACGTCACATGGAAAGGGCTTTTGTAATTAGTCTGGGTGTCATTAACGTAGAGCACAGAGCGAGCTCCCAGCCTATGAGGGAGGCCTTATTGTGATGGACATCCGAGGTAGGAATAAAAGTTGATGGAAAAGCCTAAATGCGTGCTGGGAATTTAAAAAAAAAAAAAAAAAAAAAAAAAAAGGAGGAAAAACTTGTAAAAGTTTTACGCCAAACAAAGTTATAAAAACTTTTCATGCGTTAAGATATCAAAAGGTTTATAACAATAATAAAGAGTGTGTGCCGTGTGTGTTAAATCTGCTTTGAAACGCATTAAATGCTGCGCGGCTGAGTTAAATATTAAGCATCATAAACGCCACGCGGGGTTCAAAATTAGAGTTCTAGGTGTTTGGGGTTTTTTTCCTCCGGGGCAAAAATGTGGGGTCCCCCCACCCCAATTCTACACCCCCCCTTCTCCGGCTCCCTGGAGGCGGGGCGGCCGAAGAGCAGAGACCCTCTCCTATTCCGCTTTATTACAAAAGGGTTAAAGGTGATGGACTTGACTTTATTGAAGTTCAAAGACATCATATATTCACATTTTTCTCCCTGTGGGTCTGGTTCCCACCCCTGCACCCCCAGGCCCGCCCTGGAAAACCCCTCGTCGTGGCAATTTTCGGCTTTTTGCCCTCAAAAACCCGACGCTGGACCCTCCCATCGCCTTGCCGCATATTGTCACCCTCTAGATAGGTGCAAGCACACTGGAAAGGGAAATACATATGTCCTAACCCTGTTCTGCTTGTACTCTCTCCTACTGTGGTACCCAGAGCATCTTCAGTGACCCCCCCGCTCCGCCAGCCCCTTTTCTCCCGCCCTCCCCAGAACATTAACAGCCCTTTTCCTACATGGCACTGATGCTTAATGCTGCTGTAAACTCCCACATGGTCTATAAACTTGGATTTTACAACTGGCATTCCATTTTAGCTCGCGAAAACTTTGAACTAGGCCTACAGTTTCATTGTGCTGCAGTTGAACTGGAGCCTTGGGAAGGAGAGGGGGGGGGAGAAAGGGAAGGAGGGGGAGAGAGAAGAGGTAGAAAAAATAAATTCCCTGGGCAAGACTCCCTTATTTGTTTACTATTTACTGCGGAAGTCTTTTCCTTTAGCCAGACGGGGTAATTAAGAAAAATTAAGCTGTTTAGTGCTGCAGTCTTTATTACAATGTCTAGACTAGCCGCTTTTGTCCGGACAGCCGCTGCTGTTACGGAGCATTAACTGCCGCTTCTGACCTCCCGATATTCACCTTATTGCACCTCTCTTTAGTTTTCCTAACCTTGGGAAGGTTTGGCAAACACTCATTAAATAAAGGTGGCTTTTTCCCCCCTTTTTTTGGGGGGTGGTGGAGGATAAGCCCCCTCCGCGCTCCCGGCGTGCAGCTACATCTGCCAGGAAGATGGCTCCTACCTTAATCTCGCCTATTTCACTTTGCAACCCACCAAAAAAATCCCCCTTTTTACGCCTAGTTTATTGAATATAAAGCTTAGGTGAGATTTTAGGCCGGGGACAAGAGTCCTTTCAGTTCTCGGGCTTTGCATAAATAAATATAAGGAGCTAAAGAAGCCGTCTGCCATCCTCCAAACCCTCTTTTCTCCCCCTTTCCCACTCTTTTAATGAGAAACATGCCTCTGAACATCCTTTCAAGATCATATCGTGGTGCAATCACGAGTCTATCACGAAAGCTTGGAGTTGGTTTGGGTTTAATTGCGCGGGGGGAGCACGGGGTGGGGGGGGAGGCGGGTTGGATGGGTGCAAACGAAGAGCGTTTTTGTGGGTTTATAATTCCCCCCCCCCTTTCCGTTGTCAAATAAAATCAGAAGACACCATCAAAGGGGTTTTCATTCAACAGGGTTGTATTTAAAAGCAAGGATGAGAATTTTACAAGAACACGCTAGATGGATGGGAATATAATGTGCTGGGTTTTGGCTGCTGGGGGGTTCTTTCCCCCACCACCAGCTCTTTGTCCCACCCCCCCCCCCACTTCCATATGCACAATCCCATCGCTCCATATCAGAAAGCAGAGCAGCATCCAGCTTGAAAACCTCAAACATACCCCCCCCCTTTATAATAGTTAAAAAAACCCTTCTGAAATGTTGTATTTACACCAAATACATGCACCACGTCACCAACGGCATCTTCGGGATTCCTTTGTCCTCGACATCGGTGTGCTGCTTTCAGACACTGCGAGAAAAAAGTCATTGTGCAAACAGGGGTGGGGAGGAGAAGGACAAAAAAAAAATCACTTTTATGCCCCGTGCCTGGGAGTTGAACTTGTTTTCCTTAAGCGGGAATTTAAGGACTTGACTTTGCATTTGTGCTTTGTAGGTATAAGGTATCCTTGACTCATGGAAACGCAGCTCGTTTCTCGGTGTAATTAGAGTTGCATTCATTGTTGGGATTTTGTGTGGGTTTTTAAAGAAGACTAATATATTGTTCTCATGAAAACGCAAAAAAAGATTAACTACAACCGGAAAACAGCGAAAGACATCTGGAGCCAAATCCAGAGCAGGATTACTGGGCCAAGAAAAATCCTATAAATTTCAATTCGCTGATGAATACAATGAACTCCACACCAAACGTGTGCACCAAGGTGGAGGTTTCATATTAATACCAGTCCTATTAGAGCAGATTGCAGCGAGTCCCATGAATATGGATGATGATATTTCTGATATGCATTCAGGTATTTAAACTCCTATGGAAGAAACCCACACCACAATGACCGCAAAGAGGCTTTTAAGAGGGGAGATTCTAATAAAATGGTCAAATAAAATCATAATGTAGAACAGCTTGCAGTGTCTTTATTTGCCACAGAATTTCACAGAGTATCCCGGGGACTCACTTTACATACACAAAGATATTTGTTTTTTAATTATTATTCTTTCTCAGGATTTTTAGGTTTTTTCCTCTCTTGTTCTTCGTCTCCCATTTACGGAGGGGGAAAGGGGGGGGAATTCAAATAAAACACTACAAAATGTATTTACAAACCATATCAGAGACAGTTATTGCGAATTTTCGCCTGGATTTCCCCCCCCCTCTACCGACTCCAAATGTAGAAATGATACTGCAGGGAATATATATATGGATATATACGCACACACTCCCATATATATATGCATATATATCTTTTTAGATAAAAAGGGTGGGCGGAGGAGGTGGAAATAATGATCTTCCTTTAGAACAGAGATGAGCGGGGAGGGTGTGAATGTGCACACACACACACACACACACACACACATAGAAGGACACACATGTCTCTGTGTGGATTCACACACACACACTCACTCACCCAGATGAAGTGATTTGATCCTACAGGGAGACTTTGGCCGCTCTTGTGATAACACAGCTGCATATTGAAACCACCGTGGTAGTAACACCCAGCACTGCGATTTATTCAAACGGACAGGGTGCCTAAATAATAATAACAATAAAAATAAGAATAAGAATTTAAAAAAGGGGGGGGGGGTGTAAATCCCAACCTGTTCAGGGAAAGAAAAAATAATAAAAATAAAAAAAATAAAAGAAAGAAAAAAAAGGAAAAAGTTAAATAAAATGTTCATGGAATTCAAGTCCTTGAAGTGGGAACTGAAAGAAAATCTCACTCCTTTTGTTACTCAGTGCTGTCCCAGGCATAGTAACGTATAAGTAACGAAAAGGCTTAAACTTTGAGGTTGCTTTGTCGACTCAAAGGGCAAAGCCCTGCTCGCAACTGTTCCTTCCTCGACACACCGACCCTTCACCAGCAGAGGGGATTTCAAAAGATGTTCACAACAAGGGATTTCCAGAGAAATACTGCAGGCGGTCTCTGCTTAGTTTTTTTTCTTTCATTCTTCTGTTCTGAAACCAAATTTTAACCTGTCGGTCAGTGAGATTTAACATCCTAGACAACTGGAGCCTTTTCTCTTTGTTTATATAGACATTGAAGAAAAATTCTCTCTCTAGCTCTCTGATCTGGAATTTCGAATAGGGGCATCTCTTCTTCCTTGTTCTGGGAGCACCTTAAAAGAACCAGAAGGCAGGGTAAACATCCTAAGGAAATGCAAGACACAGACTCATCTTCACAGCTGATCAGATAAATAGGAGAAGCTTAATAACTCCAGTTATTAATGCAAGGAGGGGGGATATCTTCCAGCAGTTCGCCTATTGTTAAGGGTAGCAGAGGTGAGGTTACACAGGGTCTTAAGGACCGTGGTGGAATCATTTTCCCACTGCACGGGGCTTTATGCAGGCACATGCAGAGATTTTCGGTGCTTCTTTATTGCTTAAATAAGGAACAGCCTTGGACTGGAGGCAGCAGGCTGCTGGAGCAGAGTTAGAGAGGCTGGGAAATCAAAAAGTAAAAAAGCCCCACGCTCAGCTGCAAATCTGTTATCTGTATAGAAACAGCATGAGCAAGGTTGGAATCAGAGGAACTAGATATTACGTTCCGCATAAGTTTTTTATTAACTCCAGTCCTCGCCACACACGCAAAAAGGAATCAAAGTCAAAAAAGAACTTTGCATCTGAGCTGCAAAAGGGGACTTGCACCACGAAAGCAAATAGAAAAACACGACAACCCTCCCTTCGTCCCAAAAAAAGCCCCACGCTGAACGCCAACTTGTAAGGTTGCCTGGATCCAGCCTCTAAAACAGCTCCAAGACTGCCTAGAAAACGTGAGTGCATGCAAAAAACACCCCCCAGAAGACCCAAACAAGCAGAGGCGTAAGTAAAAGCCCTTCCTGACAAAAGCTGGACGCTCCACTTGCCTCGAAGGAGAATAAATGCCACTTTAAACTGAAAAAACGAAGAAAACGCTCAGCTTTGCCTGCGAATTCGGCAGATTTCCCCCTTAGCACTGCACCCCCAGCAAGAGAAAAGACTCGACATACAGTTTTAATTAAAAAAGAAAGAAAGAAAGGGGGAAAAAAGCCGCCCCGAAGATTTTGCATGCATCTTAGTGCCTAAAAGAAAGCACAGGCAGCTAAAGTAGTGTTCTGCCCAATTGCCTTTTACCCTCAGCAACCCGGGACCAAATCCTTTTAAAATGCTCATGTAAGTTCATGATCAAAGTTAATATTTGTCACGATGGTGTGCTTTTAAAATTTCACAGACTCTAAGATACTGTGTCTGCACCTAACATCTCCATTTTTTTCAAAGAGCTTTTCCCATCGTAAAAATTCTTCTCGTTGGAAGAAAGAGCTTTGTAGGTTATAATAAAATCCTTTGAATGCTTATAAAACTCCACATAAAATTTGACCGACAAAACACACGGGCTAGTCCCTTAACCTTTCCATTTACTGCTCTACCTACTCGAATTGCTGCTTTTGCTTCCTTCCTTGGTGACAGAAGAGGACGAGGCTGAAGACCCTGGGTTTGTGTTTTCCTCCTCATCTTCCGGGTCTATACCTTGCTCTCCGCGGGATGACAGTGCGTGGGGTTGGGACTCTGCCTCCACTTTGCCCTCACCCTTCTGCAGGCAGCTCTCAGCCGGATTTTCCGCCCCACAATAGGCATTTTCGAAGAAGCGGTCGAAACCTTGGGGCAAGACAGTGTTTTTGTTCATGCTGGTGTAGAATCCCGTCGGTGCCGGGTGGTTGGAGCTGGGGTGGTGGTGGCTGTACACGCTCTCGTTTTTCATTAGCATTTCGGTCATGGTGGAAGGCGGGATGCACTCTCTATGCATCAGATCTTCTGCGGAATAACACGAGGCGTAATTGCTGCGGTGGTGCCATTTACTCGAGGGGTCTAGACCATAGGAGACCTCTCGCACGGGCTGCACTTGCGAGAGGTTGGTGGAGTAAGGGTAGGAGATTTGGCGAGAGGGGGCCTGTGGCAAGAAAGATGACACAGTTGAAAATTCAGGGACGTAATAGGTACAGCTGGGGAGGTAGAGATTGGAAGCGCAACCTGCCCTTTCTCCAAACTCAGCGCTCCTCTCCTTACGCGACTGGGAGCAGAAGTTGCCCAGGTTCACCGAGTTAAACATCTTTCTCCTTTTCTTCCTCCTATAGCTAGATGTTTGGGATCCGATGTGCGGAGGGGAAAAAATTTGGGAAGGCGAGATGACGCGCTATCCGTCTTAGTCGCTCCGGCGGACACGTGATCCAAAGTAGATATTGTCATATATCAGTTTGGAGCACTTAGATGCGTAGGAGTGGTTCACTTAGGTAAGATCTCAGAGGTTCAAACGATTGGTTTGCAAACACCGCAGAAACATTATGAAAATCAAGGGCAGATTTGTATTCATTTTCCTGAAGGCACACCCCTTGTAAGCACTCGCAGCAGAACAAGTACAAGGGGCGGCTTGTGAAGTTGCTGCCTTTTTTTTTTTTTTTCCTGCTTTTTTTTCCTGCTTTTTTTTTTCTTCGCCTTTTTTTTTTTACCCCTTGCCTTTTCTTTTCCCCTTGTTTCTTTTCCCCTTGCCTTTATTTCCCTTGCCTTTTTCCCCCTTGTCTTTTCCCCTTTTCTTTTCTTCCTTCCTTGCCTTTCTTATTTTTTCTTGCCTTTTTCCCCCCAGTGCTTTTTTTTTTCTTTTTCTTGCCTTTTGTTTTATTTTCCTGGCTTTTTTTTTTTTTTTTTTTTGTTCCTTTCTTTCTTTACCTCCTCTCCTTCCTACGTGGATTCCGCTTGCTGCTTTTCAGCAGGGTTTGGAGATGGGGTGTGGGGGATTTGGGCTGGGGAGGAGGAGGGAGGGAGGGTCTTAGGATGCTCGACCGGTGCTTTTTCACCCTTTTAGGAATATATCTTAATTACGTTGATTATTCTAATTTATTATTATGGCTATTTCTATCCCTAGAAGTGTTCCTGAGTAGGCTGTAGGTAGCTCAATAAAATCGCTGGAGACGCAGAAGTAAGTTTTCCAACATTTCCCAAACCCTTGCTGCAGGCGGGAATGCCCAGCTCTCCCTGCAGCTGGGCTGCTAAATTCTAACTAAATCTCTACTATCTGGGAGTGAGGGGGTTGGTGCTAATTAACAAGCTTCTAACATACGCTAATTATGTTGATCTCTGTATGCGCATCAACTATACATCAACCAAGTTGGCGTGCTTTATGGAGAATATACCATTTGAGCAGTGACAGCATGCGGGGGAACGTGTGAAGTTTCCAACTTCCGAGTTAAAGCAGGCCTGGCTTAATGACTTTTGATATCGAATTAGTGATATATCAAGGCATAGAACAAATGAATTAAGTCAATGTCTAATAAATATTCGAAAACCTCCCTTAATGTTTGGTTAAATATTTATTACGTAAGAGTGGCATATTGAATATTTAATGTAATTGTTTATTGTCAATCAATGAATGTACTTGCAGCAATACTCCCATCATTTATTCTTCCAGCTGAATTAAAAAAGATATTCTTATTAAAGTCATTTGTCTTCTATCCTGTGCCCCGGAGCCTCCTCTTGCTCTGCCCTTGTGCATTTTCAGACTAAAAAATACAGATATCAAAGCGCTGCCAAATCTTTTGCGAGTTTTGCAAAGAATTGTTAGGCGGAAAGAAAGAATTACATGGGAAAATTATAATCATTAAAAAATCTCTTCTGCAAACCCATTGGAAATGTGCACCTCAAGGACTGTAACTTCCGCGGCACCAGGCTCCGAGGGGTTATCCCATTTAAATAATCTTAAAGGAACAAGTCTGTCTGCAACAATTGGGCACTTATCGGGTTTTCACCTGGATGGGAAATCATCTGCTTGAGGTGGAAAAGCTTTCTTTGCTGAACAGAAGCGGCTGCTGCTTACATCCATGAATGAAAGTATTGCAGCGCATCCCTCCTTTTTTATCCTTTTCTTTACAGGATGCCACCGAGGCATTTTTTTCCCCTTGAATTACACATTTTAAAACGCCCAGTAAGAGGAAGAATAAATAAAAATATTGAATTATCCGAGCGTAAATGCGACCTAAACTCTACCGTGGTGCGTTGGATACTCCGAGCAGATCTGATGCACCAGGAGAGAGCGAGAGGCGTTTATGGAGAGGATTTTGCTAAATCGAGTTGCAGCAAATTCAAAGAGTAACAAGGGAGAAAAGGCAAATCTCAGCCGTACAGCAGGAAAAGCCCCGGCGGCTGCAGCATTTTTACTTTGCTCCCCTAAGAACTCATGCATAAATTAATCTGAAAATAACCAATTCACCAAAAAGGAGCAACAGAGGGTCCCAGTCCTGCTAGGGGGTGTCTCTCCTGAAACTGGGCATTCCTGAGAAGCATCTTTTACCACTTCGCTCTTCTCTATTTAATTTGATTTAATTTGCCAGCACCCAACCTGCTGTTAGCACTTTAACCAGGGTGGTTGCTTAATTCGTAGGGGAGAGGAAGAGAACTGGAGAGGAAAAAGCATCTTCTCTGCTAAAAATACAAATAACCTGCAGTTCTGCAGCAATACAAGGGGGAAATAAGGAAAAAAGATTATTTTCACAAGAGAAAACAGCCTCTCAAGTCCGTACCTTGCAGCCGAGCAGAGAGCAAAGGATTTCAAGATGCCTGAGCGAAAAATAAGACGGGTATTTCAGTAAGGCTTTCCAAACTATAGTGTTTATCAGGCGGTGTGCCTGGATTTTTATGTATTTATTAGAAAATCTTGAAGGAAAACATGGCGGCTTCACATGTTAAGGTTGTGAGCTCTTGCTCACTTTGAGCCTTCCTCACCCTCTAATGCCACAATGCGCTCCTGATCATTTATTCCCATTAATTTCTGGATTCTCTCCCTCCCCTCTAGCTTTGTATTTTTTGTTTAAAGAGCCGTTCTCATAAATCCCTTTTTATAAGGGATCAGGGCATGCGAAAGTCTCTGAACGCGTGTGTGTGGAGACAGAGATGTACACACAGATAAATACCTCTGGAATCACAAAATGAGCTGTGTTTTCCTCTCTCATGCGCCGTTTGGCTGATGAATATATATATACTCGTATATATATTCATATATATATATGGGCAAGAACTCTGGCTGCAGATAAGGATTTCTTCAGCTTTGTAATCCACCCTATTTTATGACTTAGATGTCGTTTTTGGCAAAACTTTTAATTAAAGTGTCAGCGATCTTTTAACTTGGCTTTTTATGGACCTATATTAATACTAACTACAAACTAATAATGTTAAGCTATTGTTTATGGGTGTAATTATTTTTTCCCCTATTCCTTCCTGTTTGCAACCTGCATGGAGGATTTTCTCCCTCAGATTAAAAGGGTAAAGGCTCTAAAATAGACGATTTTTGTCATATTTATTCCCATCTAGATTCCATAGGAAGGCTCTAGGCATGGAGCTTTGCATCCAGAGGAGGAATTAGAGCGGGTTGTTGGAAAAAACAATATCCCAGCAGCTCTTTAAACCCAAACCAAAGCACATCTACCCCCCAAAATACCCCAACACAAGAGCAAAAGAACAAAAATCCGTGTGGCATAAAACTCGCCGTCTCTCCTCTAGGTGCGTGAATAATTTATTGCTCTTCGTAGGTAAATACATCTAAACCAAGTCCTGGTGTCGTTTTGGGATTTTAAACCCGGTTTAAAGGGTAGGATTTGCCTGCTTCCTGCAAGGAAGCAGAGATGAGGCAGCTGTGGAGTCACAGCACTTGAATTTGACCACCAAAGTGACCACCATAAAACGGAATGAGGGCTGGCGGCTCGCATTCCTTTTGGTTGCCCTTCAAAAAAAAAAAAAAAAAAAAAAAAAGGCAAATAACTTTAAGGCATAGCCTTAAAGCATCCAGAGCCTTTCAATCCCTTCGGTTTTTAAACCTCCTTCATTTCCTAGCGAATAAGAAAGGTTAGAGCGTAGAGGGGGGAAATTAAAGAAAAGCTGTATTTGCGCCCTTGAAAGGGGGGGAAAAAAATCCAGGGGAACTTGAGAAGGGGGTCTGATTTTCTTGATTTGGAAGTGAATGTGTGTATTAGATGAAAAAAGAGGACTTCCCCCCCTTTATTTACTTGTGTCTTAGGCAGAGGGAAGGAAAAAGAGGTGCAGTGCCGAACTCGTCTCTCCTTGTGCCTGTTCTGCAATTCTAAATACCCAGCTTTATGTTGGCACCTGAACCGGAGACCTTTTTCTACCCAAATTTCCCCATCAGAAAAAGCAAAGTGCAAGGGAAGAAAAAAAAAATCAACCCCTCCCAAGCTATCCCCCCCTTGCTTCGGAGTCCACACTCATTTGCCTGATATAATGCAAACACTTAACACATTTAACAGCGTTTTCAGCAGGCAAATAGGCTCAAGGCTGCTGAGATGTGTTTTGTGTTACTAACAGGAATTTTAAAGGGATGTCAGAGGCATTTCGTGACCAAAAAAACATTGTAGCAGTTGTACCCAAATCAAAAAGTTGGAGTTGTGAAAGCTGGCTTTAGCTGATCTGTGTAAACATCTGAAGTTATATTTTGGTTTAGGTTAATCCTGTACTTGAACTCTTCTCAATAAATCATTCATCTATTTTTTTGCTCTTTTTTCCCTTCCACTGGGTAGAGTAGATATTATTTTTGTTTCCTTCCCCTAAAGCTGGGGTTATTTGAAAGCAATGTAAAACTGTTAGCAACCTCCCAACCTCGCTCAAAAACTTGTTTGTAAGTATTGCCATAAAGAAGCCTTTGTCTGAGCCTGTACAGTAGGAAAACTACTGAATGGAGAGGAAAAAGGGAGGGGGCAGGAGGATGCTAGAAAATAATTGAAAATACTAGATTTTATACCAACCTGGCTTACCACGTTACTCATTGTTACTCACTCTGCTCTCAAGGTATCTGATGCAAGAGCCTGAATCTTTCCCTATTTCAGCCAGCTGATCAGAGTTTGCATTGAAGGGATAAAAAGAGTGGACTTTCCCCAACCTGCAGTGCTAACCTGTGCTCACTCGGGGTAGAAACGTGGTGTTGGGGAGCACAGAGAACTTCTGTAGCAGCTGCATCTCCCCGCAGCTGCAGAGATGTGCTTCGCTTTTGCTAAATAGGCTCCAACTTGTGATGTCTAATGACTTTGGCCTATCAGATGTTCTCAGAGTGATTTTTCCCTCCCTTCCACGACGGTATTACAATTACTTCCTCAGATGGACCTCAAAAAAAGAGAAAGAAAGGAAATTCGGGCCAGTAAACAGATCACTAGACACCGCGTATGTGTAGAGGAAATCTGAAGGGAGAGACAATAGCTACAAGTGGGAAGCGCTTGGAAAATATTATAGCCCCCAAATGGCAAAGATAAATTTAATTGGATGGACGCCAGGCTGCGAAAGAAAACTATATAAGCTGTGAACAATTCAAAGGGGGGAAAAAAGGAGAGAGAGGAAAAAAG